TTGGGTTAAGTACCTAATTCGTTCCAGAGGTCCGTACTTAACCTGAAACTGTTCTTAACCTGAAGCACCACTTTAGCTAATGGGGCCTCCTGCTGCCGCCGGAGCATGATTTCTGTTCTCATCCTGAAGCAAAGTTCTTAACCTGAAGCACTATTTCTGGGTTAGCAGAGTTTGTAAGCTGAAGGGTATATAACCTGAAGTGTATGTAACCTGAGGTACCACTGTATAGATGATTTGAGAAGAATGTCGAATACAAAGATTATTGTACAGTGGTACCTCGGGTTAAGTACTTAATTTGTTCCGGAAATCCGTTCTTAGCCTGAAACTGTTCTTAACCTGAAGCACCACTTTAGCTAACGGAGCCTCCTGCTACTGCCGCGCCGCCAAAGCACAATTTCTGTTCTCATCCTGAAGCAAAGTTCTTAACCTGAGGTACTATTTCTGGGTTAGCGGAGTCTGTAACCTGAAGCGTATGTAACCTGAAGCATCTGTAATCCGAGGTACCACTGTAAATTGTATAATGTGGTGGAAATCTGAGTGGGGGCAGAGGAAAGTGGGAGGAGGGAGAAAAGAATAATATGATGAATTGAGGAAATACAAATGTAAATGTATGGGGGGATGGGGAGGAAATGGTGTTGGCTTTGGTACATTTGTATGGTAATGTAATATGTGAAAACCAAGAAAGAAAGAAAGAAAGAAAGAAAGAAAGAAAGAAAGAAAGAAAGAAGTTCTGGAGCTTCCCAAAAGTAAAAATGGCTGTTACCAAACTCATCAGGTGAGGGGCAGCTGAACTGGGGAGTGGGGGAGCATGATGTAAAAGAGATATGAAGAAGGGAACTGCTATAGGTATGTGAGGAAAGGAAGGTGGCCATAGGGTGGTGTGGGAGCCAACAGCTATACCACAAGCATGGACACAATACCCCCTTCAGAGCTGAGAAAAGAGAACAAATTATATGCCACGAAATTCCAAATAGCTCAGAAGTCTAGGGGTGAATCGAGAGGAGGAACTGCCTCTCATGCTCAACTATAATCTGCAATATAGGATAATGCCAGCCTAGGCTTCTTGTAAGAATTGCTGATATAATGCAAATGAAGCACTTTTGGAAGCTTATGAAAAGTGCTACATATTAAATGCTAAGCATTATTCCAACACCAAGAATACATTTCAGGGTTGCTGCTACTGTATCGGAAACCTCTATATTTTACATTGATTTCACCCGCAGCCCTAACATCACACTGCCCTAAAGAGAAACACTGTAGTGTAGTCAGTGGTTTAGGGTCACAGCAGGATTAATACCCGCTCAGCTGCGAAGCTTGCTGGGTGACCATGGGTCAAACACTCTCTAAGAACATTGGGGCAGCCTGTTGATTCAGGCCAATGGGCCGTTTAGTCCAGTTTTGTGTTCTCGCAGTGTTAAACCAACTCTCTTCCTACGTGAGAGTAAAATGGGGAAAGAGAAATAATCTAGTTGGCCTTGTGTTCCTTGGAGAAAAGTCAGGATATTAATGTAAACATAATTAGTAACTGAACCACACGTGGCCTCACAGAATAACAAAACTGAGGCAAAAAGAGGGATTAGGACCTCAAAAGAACTCACAGAAACAGTAATATCTCATTCGTGGGTTGAAAACTTTAGAGTGCATTCCAAAATCAGGTCCTCTGCAAGTTTTCTTCTCATTCCTTTGATTTAGAAGTGTTGCACAAACTTTCTATTTCATATTCCAATTATCTGGTCAAAAGCCTTTAGCTTTCTTTTTACTTACACTTTCCAGGTAAGGAAATGGTGGCCTAGGCAACAGAGAGATATATACTCTGTTCACAATGTCTCAGAAATTCTGCAATGGGAAATGCCTGTAAACCCAGGGCTTTAAAAAAAAAACACCCCGGAACTTGCGGGAACTCAGTTCTGGCACCTCTCAGGTGGGCGCCATTGACATGGTGAGTTCCAGCATCTCTTTTTCTAGAAAAATAGCACTGTGTAAATCTATCCTGTAATGCTTGTAAACTGTCCATCTCAAACTGTGGTTTAAATAACTAGCTTAGCATGAAAGAAGTTCTGGAAATTAAATGTCAGCAACCAGTGCCTTCAAAAAGTTATGAAAAGGCGATCAAGACGTTCTTCTCTCAATCACAACTACGCACCACAGAGGGAAGTGTGTTTGAACTGCAAATACTTCAGGGAGAAGAATCCTCAAGATTTCAAAATCAGTGAAGATTTTTAGAAAGCTCCAGTACATCTGACATGTTTCTTCCCTTGCTTTAAATCCACTTGGTCAATTTTCAAAATACGGCTCCTTTCTCATCATTTTGCAGCAATTGCCAGCTTCTCTTTTGCCTGTGGCTGTTCACAGCTTTGCAAGGAGAAAGCAAAGGGCTGGTGAGGGAGACGACTGGATCTGTTGTAATCTGTTATATTTTCCCCTCTGACGAGAGGGGAATGTCTTGCTGCCTGATGCTGTGCGTCATTCACAAACAGAGAATGATTTCAAATCTTTTTGTTTAGTTTCCTGTCCCAAGGAAATAAGGTACAGAGCAGACCTGTAGTCTAGTATAGTTTGTTAGAAAGAGGTTCCATTACTTCTGGGGTTTGTACAGTATATGGAATTCTGCTCTCGTTCCCACCCAAACAACTAACACTTTTAATAAACCATTTTGTTATTTCTAAGGTTTTTGTTGTTTTAATAAAAGAAGTCTAGCTCTCCTTCCCATCCCCTGCCTCCACAGTCTTTCCAAGACACAGAACAATCACCCATTATTATATAAATGCCTAGACAGACTAATTGCAGTAACCCTGGGGACAAGCAAATCCGATGCCCTTTTAAAATGTGGGGTTTTTTTGGGGGGGTGTTATTGGGTTGTTGTTTTTCTTTTGATTATATATTTTGTGGCTTTATATTTTGATTTTGTTCTGTGAACTGCCCTGATGTCTCCGGGTCTAGGGTGGTATATAAAATTCAAATAATAATAATAATAATAACAATAATAATAATAAAAACAAAGAAATACGTGATGTTGGGCACTCAAAAGAGTAGCAATACTGTAAATAGCAATACCCATTACATGAGTGAAATCACAACCCTGTAAGGAGAATTAAAAACAGTGTTTGTGGTGGTTCTTGTTTTGTTTTTTGCAAACTGCCAGGCCAGGCTGAGATATTGTACCAATTTCATGAAATGTTAAACACAACTTTGAGTAACAATAACGTGACTGGAAAGACGAACAGGCACAGATGGCAAGCCCTATCCCTATCCAGAAGGCACGTCTACCTACTTCCTAGACAATTTAAATCTGTCTACACGAGAAAGAAGAGTGAAGTTGCCTTCCCTACTCCAATTCTGCTGAAAGTGGGCTTGCGTGTATTTCGTGAACACAAGTGTGTGTGTGTGTGGACGCGCACACGCATGCGCAAGAGAAGGGATGGGACATTTTCTGTGGTGGCATCCCATCTCCTGATAGTTGAGAGATATAGCTAGGTGTCATCAGCATATTGAAGACACTTGGTTCCAAATCCCCTAATGACCCAAGCTGCTTCTCCTAGGGCTGAGCAGAAGTCCCTCAATGCTATTCTCCGGAAGTGTCCCTGGAGATGGGAAGGAAACTACTGCAAACAGCTGTTTGACCTGTGTCTGCTGGCATAATTTTTATTACTGTTATGATCACATCTTATTTTCTATTTTTTTTTCTTTATATTTTAACCCACCACAAACCTATTTTATAGAAACCCAAGATTAAGAGAGAGTGATACACACATTTTGCATTTCTAAAAAAAGTGCCAATGTTGCAATGGGCAAGAAAACTGTGTGGTCCAGCCAGAAAATGATTGGCTGGCAATAGTAACGGGGGCTCCGGTGTTGATCGGGAATCCGGTAAAAATGAATGAGAGCAGCATTGGGGATTAAGTGATGATGGCGGGGTAACATCCTCAAACCTGGATCCTTGACCCCTCAATATCTATCTGTTGTTTGCACCTTTCTTTTGCCGTTTGGCGTGTGGAAGCCCACTGTGAAATGTTGGAATTCCATCTGCATCCAAATCTACTTCTGCTAAACACTGTTCGGTACACACTGCTGCATTTCTTTATAAACAGCATTTCTGGCACATCTGAAGTGCCCTCACACTTACTGCAGCACAGATGATAGGTTGTTTGTGTTGCTGATTAATAACATATGCATGTATTAATGCCTGAGGTGAAAGACTTTAAAAATGCATAATTACATTCAACATGAAACAAATGATTCAGAGAAAATAAATATTTTGCCTTTAGTCATCATGGTGTTAATTTACGCTTATTGCTAGCTAGCAGTCAGTTCCAACATGACTCCTTCCTTCCGCTAGAAGGACTTCAATGGAGAGCTGAAGTTAGGGATCAAATATCAAGACAAAAATCCAGATTAAAAATAGTCAATTCCTGTGTGTTTTCTCCACCCATTACCGGGCATGAGAAATGTTCCTCCAGACCATCATCTGTCAAGGGCTCTTAATGACTGATTGCCCACTCTCTGAGAATTATCTAATGACTGATTGCCCATCTCCTGCACAGGTGTTGTGTTGCAGCAATTGCAGAGAGTGCAGCTGTGATAGCTGAAGTAGAATGAACAGTGCTAAGAGACACAACTTTGGTGTCTGTGTTGAAAGACTGCATCCTTAACATGGAAATTGCATGGCCAAACAGTCAAGTCAGCTAACAAAACTGTGTTTTGGGGGAGTGGGGGTGGGGGCTTTCGGCAATCCCAAATTAAACGTTTTTCATTCACTGCCACCAGCTTCTCTTAGTCCGCATGGTTTGCCTCTAGCTTTTCAGACTCTTAGTTGATGCTTTTGGGCTTGCCCTGTCCCAGCGGTGCCAGTGGCCTCGAACCTCACTGGCCTCTGGTAGGCCTACCCTGACAATTTTCAGAATGCTAGGATTAGGGGAGGACACAGATCTGCTCTAGTGCTCTGTGTAGTTGATACAGCGCACAGTCTCCTGGTTACACCAAGATGTAATAAAAGGATGGTTGACTCCTGGGATAGCTCAGTTGGTAGAGCTTGAGACTCTTAACCTCAGGGTCAGAGGTTCAAGCCCCATGTTGGTCTGCATTGCAGGGGGGTAGGACTACATGGCCTTTGTGGTCTTTTCCACCTCTACAATTCTATGACTCTATAAGCAGCCTAGCCAATGAACAAGGAAAACAGCACTGTTGCAGAAAACAGCATCTCTCTCTCTCCTGGAACAGTCTTGGAACCTGCATAAAATGCAGAGAGCTCATGTGATGCCTTAATAGAGAAGCATAATATAGCACAATGGTGACATTGGTGATATAGGCAGATTCGGCTGCAATTTCACTCTCAGCCACTTGATATTATAATTATATGTGTGTGTGTATATATATATATATATATATATATATATATATCCCCAATGCAGTGACTATTGTGTTTTAAAAATAGTCAAATAAGCATCTTATGATGTATGCAAGAACATGGGGCAGGTGCTCATTATTGACATTGCTGTTTCAGGGTATTAAAAGGCGAAGCAATAGATCGCTCCAGAATCAAATCTATTAGAGAACGCAGAGTCACAAAAGGGCTCCTTCCTTTAAACAGCAGGTAAACTAGCACAAAGCAATTTTAACTGAATGTCTAGGAACTGGTTGCCAGCTTGTATGGCCACCCACAAGTGAAAAGTAATATTCTAAACGTATCAACAACAGATAGTAGAAAGGGACTAACTTGAAATCATATATATTAAATATCCAACGGCTGATAAAAATAATAATGCCTAGGATGCTATGATAAGTGAGATGAAGGGTATCATTGGAAAGAATGTTTCTTATCCTATCCTTTCATTCTGGGAGAGCCTGATTTGGGGAGATTTCCCCCCATCCTTAGCAGCCTCCTGTGTCCTATCCCACAATGTTCAGGCGGACCACCCAAATCACTAGAGAAGCTTTCTGGGAGTGCAGGTGAGGAAGAAGAGGAGGAGGAGGAGGAGGAGTTTGGACTTGATATCCCGCCTTTCACTCCCCTTAAGGAGCCTCAAAGCGGCTCACAATCTCCTTTCCCTTCCTCCTCCACAACAAACACACTGTGAGGTGAGTGAGGCTGAGAGACTTCAGAGAAGTGTGACTAGCCAAGGTCACCCAGCAGCTGCATGTGGAGGAGCGGGGAAGCGAACCCGGTTCACCAGATTACGAGCCAATACATTTTCTTTCCATGAACTTCTTTAAGTTAATGACTGCAAAGTATTGTTACAGGATTAGAGGCTTGGGATGGATGATATCTGGGCATCCCCTTCCAGGCCTGTTATTCTGTATCTGTGATGTTTATAACCTAGTACAGGGTTTTTCAAACTTGGGTCTCCGGCTGTTGTTGGACTACAACTCCCATTATCCCTAGCTACCAGGACCAGTGATCAGGGATGATGAGAGTCATAGTCCAAAAGCAGCTGGAGACCCAAGTTGGGGAAACCCTGTTGTAGTAGAAGAAGCTGCTGAACTGGGCAGACCAGTTTCTTTGTGAGGCTAAGGGCTCTAGCCAGGCCCAGCTAAGTACCTTCATCAGCCTCTTAAAAGTATGAGCCACACTGACAACTGAAACTGCTTCTAGGAGACAGGTGGGCCTTTTACCACCTCACCTGGATGGACGCTGTGTTATCCTAGGAAGGATATATGCTAAATACATTACTGTCTCCATCAACCTTCATTCCAAGGAAACGGAATCCTGAGTAAGGCCTGGAATCTGGAGTCTCTCACCACTCACGAGACAGGTGCGTGCAACAGTATAGTTGTTTTCTACAGCTCTGATACTCTAAAGATCTATAGGATACAAAATCTTATTATGCTATACACCAAACACGTTCTTTTGCATCTGATGTTTCCTGATTCCCCCCACTCACTACAGAACTTACTCTTAAGAGAAAAAGAATGGCAATGGTTATGTAGTTTTACATCTAATCACAACTGAGGCTTCAATAATATACATGCTTACTTGGGAGTAAGTCCCACTGAATAAAGTGGACAAAGTAAACATGCTTAGGATTTCAAGGATGTGAGAAAAATCACAAGCAAACCAGAAAAGGTTGGGAGGATACAAAATCCCATACCAAGTTATGGTACTTAATTGTATTTAGCTCGCAGAATGCTTTGAATTTAAGGATAAATACAACAAAATTAAATTTGTGCACCTTCTAACACTTAGTAAGGGAAATTATGCATTTCCCACACAGCCCTATGTCAGCTCCACAGGGATTATATTACTATTTATTGTTTTCTTTGCTCAAATAAAACACCTGTCAGGGTCATCTATTTGAAGAATTTTTAATATAGCAGCCTTACACTATGGAGAGTGAAGAATGTTTATTCTGGTTAGATTGCTAGCTTTCCCCCTCCCTTCCACCCCCGAGGTAGGTGCATAATGATTTAATAACAGAAACAGCATGCCCACAAACCTCTGCACCCCATATTTAAATAAAAACCTAATATATTTGAGATCTGGGTATCAGTTTGTACTGCTACTTCAAGATTTCTCCATTATGAATAGAGCGGTATCCCTAGGATACGGCATCCTTCTTTTCTAAAGTCCTGTCTTAAAGTGTCAGGAGTCAAAGAATTAAAAACAAAGGCAGCATAAATTGCTGTCAATCATTAAGCCCTTTCATCTGCTCTTGACTTCAAAAGGCATTCTGTTTCCTAAATGGAGGGATCAATCACCCCACATTACATCTGCTGTTAGGAACAATACCACCACACTGTCAGCCCCAGGGACAGATAGTTCAGACACATGTAATTTAACATTCAAGGCAAACCAAACAAATATATGCAAAGGAGTCTGTTTGTGAACCATACCTGTTGGGTGCAGCCACATCACATTGTTCTCGCTTTAAGAGTTACACAGCCTTTTTTCCAAGACAAGAGGAAGCATCTCTCCCAGTCTGTTCTCGCCGGACAGCCGTGTGCTATTAATTGCTTATTTAAGGCTGCAGTTCCATGCACACTTAGTCAAAGAGAGTGAGCCGTGCTAAATCAGCAAGTCCCGTAAATTCATAGCCCCCCAAACCGCAGGATTTCAATACGTTTTGAACAAATCAGAAACGTCCAGTTAAAAGCTCATAACAAGAGTTGAAATATCATCATTATCTAACGCTCTACCACTCCAAAAGCCAGTACAAATAACAGGCCTTCCAACTCTTGTGAAAGGTGATCTGGCTAGGGCTTAGGGCAGCAAATTTCGCCAGGGGAGGAAACATCTCTGTGTGCCCTTGCTGCCCTGATGGATAGCATTGCTATTGGTCAGTGTTAGAGGCCATGAAGAGACCCAGGAGAAGGAAGCACTCTCCTAAGTAAGTTATTATTTCTCTTTGACAAGCAGCAACACGTAAAAGATAAAGTCCTCACCTCCGCAAGGCACATTCCTGCGGCTGCTACTGCTGCTACTGCTAGTAATAAATACCAACACCAACACACAATTACAATTCTGTAAGTGTTTCAAATTTACTAACCATTTCTGGCATATAGGACAATTGTCATTGTTTGGACCATTCGGACACCTCCGTTTCTAACACAGCAAACTCTTGGAGTGTATTTTGTTCATTTCTATCCCTTCTGGAGTGATCCCAGCAGCTGAACAAAATGGGTGTGCAATGTATAGCTAGTGATAGGAAAAACCTATCGGCGAACCTTACCCAGCACCTAGAAAAGGACTTTCCATGAAGGGTCCAGGCTGGACATAATTTATCATCATCAAACAAAAGTCTTAGGTGTGAACTTACTAGGATAGTTTGCATTGCATCATATCCACTGAGCTCCTGCCAGAGGGTTAAATATATGTCACAAAGGCATCTCCAACCTGTCAAATATTATTTTAGTAAAGTGTTATGTTTAGTAAAACCTTACTTTATTTATTACATTCTGTGTTAGCAAAGGAATGACTTCTCAACAAATGCAAAAAGCATATTTGGTTTAATTACGCTAGAATATGCTTGCTTGCTGTCTGGCTTCTATTCATTTACAAGGGGTGATATAATGGTTGGATTCTAGGCACATATGGCACAGGGTTTTGAATGATCAATTAGGCAATATTTCTGGGTTAGCAGAGTCTGTAACCTGAAGCGTCTGTAACCCGAGGTACCACTGTATCTGTCTTTTAGAAGACATCTGAAGGCAGGTTTTTGATGTTTGATGTTTTACTGTGTTTAAATTTGTTGGAAGCCGCCCAGAGTGACTGGGGCAACCCAGTCAGATGGGATAGTGCTGGCTTGCACCACAGGGCCTTTTGCTGATTTATCAAGTCATACACATGTCCTAGAAGAAGGCAGGAACGAAGATATTGGAGATATACTTCAGTGGTCCAGAATATGGGAAGCCTGGAAAAATGTAATAATTAGGACTGTAATTTGGTTGTTGGTTTTTTAATTTTAGTTTATTGTTTTTAATTGGATTATGATTATGATTTGATGGATGTGTTAATTGGCTATTTTATTGGAAAATTAATAAAAATGATTTTTTAAAAAAGTCATACACATGTTCTTGGGGCATGTTCAAGCTGAGCTAATTGCTTATAGCGCCCATGCACACTAACATATACTGAAGACAACAGGGGCATTTTCGCACACGCAATAGTCTGGTCAAATCATTATGGTGGTTTATTGCTTTAGTATGCTGTGCTTTATTATTGAGCCTAAGCTTCATGGACGATTTGTTCCTGAACCTTAGCAAAGCAAGGAGATGGCAGCCACAAAGGAGTAGACAAGTGTTCCTCCTAAGTTCTTGGACGGATCACGTCAAAAGCGAATGGCGCAGCCACCGACAGAGTGCTTAGGGAGTTTAAGGTTAGCTAATATATCTTTGCGTTACACCGACATCATTTTGAAGTAAAGGTGGAAATGGCCGTACTCTGAAGTTTTCCCACTAGGATGTCTTTTGTGACATCTTCTCAACCTGCCTTCTACTGTCAAAATTATTGCATCAACAAACAAGGAAGTGGGAACGCATCAGGTCCCTTCAGTACAGCTGCACAAGCCTCCCCAACTTGATTACGTGTCACTGTTGATTGATGTCATCCTTGCCACATTCCTAGGGGCAAGGGGGGGGGGAGAG